AATGTTTATGTTTACATACAATGTTTATGTTGTAAAATAGTCAGAATGACCGTTAAGTAATTGCATATAACTTTTCTGTGTTAGTTTTTGCATTTGACGCAAAAGATGATAACATGAATAAAGAGTATTATTATTGCCCATTGACACTTTTCCGTCTTGAGATTTACAACACACTCTTACTCTGTGTATTCTTAGATGATACAGTATGTCCTACATTACAAAATAATATACTAAGTGACATATAAATCCGAACACCCAGTTTAAATGGTTTTATTATAATAAAATTTTGTATAAGTACATCGTGAAGCAGAATAAGTAAATGATAAAAATTTCAAAATGATTGCACTGCTTTAAAGCCCTTTGACCTTTAATAATGTGTGGATGCACCCTGATGTGCTACGCATTCTCCAACGCGCCTAGGCATGCTTCTGATCAGGTGGTCAATGTCCTCCTGTGGTATCTCATTCCAGACAACCACCAACTCCTCTCGAAGTGCTTCTAGAGTCTGAGGAGGACGTTGCAAATTGAGCAATCTCCTACCCATCATATCCCACACGTGCTCAATTGGGGATAAGTCGGGAGATCTTGGTGGCCATGGTAACAATGTGACATCATTATGTTGAAAGAAGTCTATTGTGACTCTTGCAACATGTGGTCGGGCATTATCTTGTTGGAAAGTTGGATCTGCCAGGGTAAAAGATGGGGTACTAGAACTTCGTGGATATAACGCTGCGCGTTCATGTTACCTCTGATGAAGGTTAAAGGTGACCTGGAACCATAAGCTATAGCACCCCAAACCATAACTCCAACAGTGTGATGAACATGTCTTTCAACAAAACACTGTGGATTCCTCCTTTCACCACGTCGCCTTCTAACCCTGGCACGACCATCGTGCTTGCCTAAACAAAATCGAGACTCGTCACTAAAGACAATACTGTTCCATTCCTGATCCCAGAGTGACCGTTGTCTGCACCACTCAAAGCGATTACGTCGGTGTTCTCGAGTTAAAGGGAGGACCCAGTGTGGCCGGTATGAAAACAAGCCAAAACTTCTCATTCGTCGGTAAACACTTCGCATGCCAATAGGTCTTCCGTGTTCTGCAAACCATTCATTTGCAATGGACCTGGTAGTGGAGAAACGGTCCCTTAAGGCCAATAATCTTAGGCGGCGATCTTAACGGTCTGTTGTTCTACGGTGGCGTCCAGTGCCCCTTGCTCTTTACGTACGGCCTTCTCGAAGCCATGCCTGACAACACCTAACCACAGTGTCTACACTTCTTTGCACAGAAAGTCCAGCTTCCCGAAGTCCCACTATACGGCCCCTATCAAACTCACTAAGTTGACGAAATCGTACAGGTCTCCGTACTCTAGGCATCGTAACCGATCGTAAAGGATGTCAAGAACCAAAATCCGCCAACGTTGATTCTTTACTGCGGCTGAAATATTTATTTTTAGAGCGTTAGTGAATTAAAAAAAAGCAGTATAAAAACCGGAATGTCCAACTGATAAGGCTGAAAATTTTTTCACTTGTTATTTACAGTAAGATAAATACATTCACCAACTTTTATTAAAATAAAACCATTTAAACTGGGTGTTCGGATTTATATGTCACTTAGTATATATTATTGCGATATGTACTTTTATATTTGAAGAGCAAAATACAATGAATTCTGTCCAAACAACAGCGAGCTATTAGTCTGTGCCTTAGGCGTGACAGGTACGTTTGTTACAGGCTTCTACAAACAACTTCCAGAACCGGTATCTAGCGAGGAGTGCCGACGACTCCGGTATCGCAGGCAAAGCGACTCCGTCAAGAAACGTGTCAAACAGAATTTTTTGAATATCTGGTAAGTAAAACGTTATTTTAATTATGAATTCTGCGGTCTTCATATAGGGCCCTGATTGCTGTATGTATGTGAAACAACATCATATTGTCAGCAACGTAACGAAAACACTGAGACGTTCAATGTCTAATTTATTACCCTTAAACTAATTTGTCGCAACGCTGTATGACCAATTTATAAGCATGTCGACTTTGTAGTTTGAAATGAGAAGCTTTCCAGCGTCTTCGCCAAAGTTCCAGATCATCCAAATGATACTTTATTCAATGGCGAGTAGATAGTATCTCTAAAGCACCACAATCGCCGGCATCTTGCGGCCAGAGGGGTCACGATAGCCAATCAATTCTGATACTTTGTGATGTCTTATTTCGAAAGAACATATTTTTTTCTGCTAAAGAATATCCAAGAGATATTGTTTAGCCATTATTGCTCTTGGTGTAACACTCGCAATGTCATGTTAGAGCTAGTCCATTCGCAACGACGTAAACGAGTTGTTTTATGGGAACACCAGGACCTAAGGTCTTTATTGGTCAAGTACTTCACTGTGAAAATTATTATCAGACGTTGTTTAAGAAAAAATAATTTCCAGTTGGGTTCTAGTCGTTCATTAGGAGAGAGATTGATCACATAGTTCGTGACACCTTGTATATTATATTATGCTCCTCTAAAAAAAACATAGTATATTCACGCTGATGCTAGATACAAGTTTAAAACGATTTCTGATCCTAAAAGCTGCGTGTCAAATCATCCGAAGATAAGTTTTTATTGATTAATGATTAATAAGCATTAAAAACCTTAGCGTTACTTTACAGATTTTGAACTATCCGAAGTTTTTATTGGGGTAACGAGTTTCTGATGCGATTAACTTTTTAAGTGGCTTTAAAGCCGATTTAAGGGATCATAGATTATGTCATTAGTTGAATAAGGACATTTTAAAGTCGTTTCTTGAAACCGTTATTAACTACCCCGGGAAAAGACTGTAAAAGATTCTTTGTTAATAATGATGAAAAGAAGATTATCTTTGAAGTGCCCTGAGTTTTGAGACTAATCATGTAATTTATATTAAAAATATACGTATCTGATATATGACATACGTCAAACGTTCAGCGTTATAAGCGGAATCGATGCCAAACAGCCGTGCACCTGAGATTTTGAAAACGGCGCAAGAATCTCACATGATGATTCTTTATAATTTCTCAAAGAGTGCCCCCATCGACTTATAAGAAAGAATCTGAACTTTTTCATATGGCATATCGTTTTATCAATATTAATATTATTTCAACGGGTTGAGACAGTCTATATATTTCTATTTTTCAAATGTTTTGAGCGACCTATTTTACTGTGATTGGTCTTAATATGTTTGTTATATGTCTCATAATTGTTCATTGGATCTTAAAAAAGTCTGCTTTGTCAAGAATCTGTTTCTTTGTTTTAGCTATCTGTCTCTTTCTTGATACTGTGGTATTTATAAACGCTGATGTCGTGCAATTTATTAAGTAGTGTAACCAGTTTAGCTGACGATCTATTTAATTTTCTTGTTATACGTATTTGATTAGATTAGCCTGTCGCGAACGCAATCCTCTATGAACTGATAACAGCGTTGCGTGTGAAATGCAGAGTCGACCTACTTGACGCCTTTTATTTGAAATAGACTGACATCCATTATATAATCAATTCACCATTTTTTTAATTGGGCAATATGAACAAGTGTTCAAATTGTATTGACCTACATTGAGGCCGCATTCACCTCATTTCAAAGCCTTATTGCCAGACATGGGATACATTCACCATTTTTAAAATTGGATATCAGTTCCTTACATTTGGAAATTGCATCAACCATTTTTCAAAATAGTGTTGCATTTTTGAAAATGAAATTGTAGAGTCAACCTACTTGACGCCTTTTATTTGAAATAGACTGACATCCATTATACATTTGAAATGAAACTGTTTTTCTTTTATTCGTCATTTTTCAAAATGAAATTGTAGAGTCAGCCTACTTGACGCTATTTATTTGGAATGTACTGACATCCATTATATCATGCATTCACCATTTTTTGAAATCGGGCGATATAAATAAGTTAGACCTCGCATTCGCCATTTGTTTAATTGGTTTGTCGACATATGTACATTGAGGACGCATTCATTTTTTCACAGCCTGATTGTCAGACATAAAATACAACCACCATTTTTTTTAATTTAATATCAACAGTTCCTCAGATTTGGAAATTGCATCAACTGTTTTTCAAAATAGTATTGCTAAAAATCTACCGTTTTTCACACCCACAATACTTTTGAAATTAAACTGTTTTTCTATTATTCATCATTTTTTAAAATGCAATTGTAGAGTCAGCCTACTTGACGCTATTTATTTGGAATGTACATTTTTTAGAATCGGGCAATATGAACAAGTTTTCAAATTGTATTGACCCACATTGAGGCCCCAGTCACTTCATTTCAAAACCTTATTGCCAGACATGGGATACCTTCACCATTTTTTAAATTGTATATCATCAGTTCCTTAGATTTGGAAATTGCATCAACCGTTTTTCAAAATAGTGTTGCTAAAAATCCCCAATACTTATGAAACTAAACTGTTTTTCTTCTATTCATGATTTTTCAAAATGAAATTGTAGAGTCAGCCTACTTGACGCCATTTATTTGGAATCTATTATACCACGCATTCACCATTTTTTGAAATTGGACAATATGAACAAGATTTCAAATTGTACTGACCTACATTGAGGCCGCATTCACCTCATTTCAAAGCCTTATTGACAGACATGGGATACATTCACCATTTTTTAAGTTGGATATCATCAGTTCATTAGATTTGGAAATTGCATCAACCGTTTTTCAAAATAGTGTTGCTAAAAATCCCCAATACTTATGAAACTAAACTGTTTTTCTTCTATTCATCATTTTTCAAAATGAAATTGTAGAGTCAGCCTATTTGACGCCATTTATTTGGAAACCATTATATTACGCGTTCACCATTTTTTGAAATTGGGCAATATGAACAAGATTTCAAATTGTACTGACATCCATTGAGGCCGCATTCATCTCATTTCAAAGCCTTATTGCCAGACATGGGATACATTCACCATTTTTTAAATTGGATATCATCGTTTCCTTAGATTTGGAAATTGCATCAACCGTTTTTAAAAATAGTGTTGCTAAAAATCCGCAATACTTTTGAAACTAAACTGTTTTTCTTCTATTCATCATTTTTAAAAATGAAATTGTAGAGCAGCCTACTTGACGCCATTTATTTGGAATGTACCGACATCCATTATATCACGCATTCACCAATTTTTTTTTTAAATTGGGCGATATGAACAAGTTTTAAAATTGTATTGGCCCACATTGAGACCGCAGTCACCTCATTTCAAAGCCTTATTGCCAGACATGGGATACATTCACCATTTTTTAAATTGGATATCATCGGTTCCTTAGATTTGGAAATTGCATCAACCGTTTTTCAAAATAGTGTTGCTAAAAATCCCCAATACTTATGAAACTAAACTGTTTTTCTTCTATTCATCATTTTTCAAAATGAAATTGTAGAGTCAGCCTATTTGACGCCATATATTTGGAATCCATTATATCGCGCGTTCACCATTTTTTGAAATTGGACAATATGAACAAGATTTCAAATTGTACTGACCTACATTGAGGCCGCATTCATCTCATTTCAAAGCCTTATTGCCATACATGAGAAACATTCACCACTGTTTAAATTGGATATCAGTTCCTTAGATTTGGAAATTGCATCAACCGTTTTTCAAAATAGTGTTGCTAAAAATCCGCAATACTTTTCATTCATTCATTTTTCAATATGAAATTGTAGAGTCAACCTACTTGACCATTTATTTGAAATGGATCGACATCCATCATAAATTATATCATGCATTCACCATTTTTTTAAATGGGCGATATGAGTTAGACGTCGCATTCACCATTTTTTACATTATATTGGCATATTTTGAAATTGCATCAACTGTTTTACAAAATAGTATTGCCAAAAATCTACAGTTCACATCCACAATACTTTTGAAATTGAACTGTTTTTCTTCTATTCATCATTTTTCAAAATGAAATTGTTGAGTCCACCTGCTTGACGCCATTTATTTGAAATGGACCGACATCCATTATATCACGCGTTCACCAAGTTTTCAAATCGTATTGACCTACATTGAGGCCGCATTCACCTCATTTCAAAGCCTTATTGCCAGATATGGGATACATTCACCATTTTTTTTTAAATTGGATATCAGTTCCTTAGATTTGGAAATTACATCAATCGGTTTTCAAAATGGTGTTGCTAAATATCCGGAATACTTTTGAAACTAAACTATTTTTCTTCTATTCATCATTTTTCAAAATGAAATTGTAGAGTCTTGACAGCATTTATTTGAAATGGACCGACTTCCATTATATCATGCATTCACCATTTTTTTAAGTCGGGCGATATAAATAAGTTAGACCTCGCATTCGCCATTTGTTTAATTGGTTTGTCGACATATGTACATTGAGGCCGCATTCACCTTTTCCCAAAGCCTGATTGTCAGACGTAAAATACATCGACCATTTTTTTTTATTTAATATCAACAGTTCCTCAGATTTAGAAATCACATCAACTGTTTTTCAAAATAGTATTTCCAAAAATCTACCGTTGTTCACACCCACAATACTTTTGAAACTAAACTGTTTTTCTTCTATTCATCATTTTTCAAAATGGAATCGTAGAGTCAGCCTACTTGACGCTATTTATTTGGAATGTACTGACATCCATTATATCACGCATTCACCATTTTTTAGAATCGGGCAATATGGACAAGTTTTCAAATTGTATTGACCTACATTGAGGCCGCATCCACCTCATTTCAAAGCCTTATTGCCAGACATGGGATACATTCACCATTTTTTTAATTGGATATCATCAGTTTCTTAGATTTGGAAATTGCATCAACCGTTTTTCAAAATAGTGTTGCTAAAAATCCGCAATACTTTTGAAACTAAACTGTTTTTCTTCTATTCACCATTTTTCAAAATGAAATTGTTGAGACAACCTACTTGACGCCACTTATTTGAAATGGACCGACATCCATTATATCATGCATTCACCATTTTTTGAAATCGGGCGATATAAATAAGTTAGACCTCGCATTCACCATTTGTTTAAATGGTTTGTCGGTATATGTACGTTGACGCCGCATTCACCTTTTTTCAAAACCTGGTTGTCAAACGTAAAATACATCCACCATTTTTTCAATTTAATAACAGTTCCTCAGATTTGGAAATTGCATCAACTAATTTTCAAAATAGTATTGCCAAAAATCTACTGTTGTTCACATCCACAACACTTTTGAAATTAAACTGTTTTTCTATTATTCATCATTTTTGAAAATGCAATTGTAGAGTCAGCCTACTAGCCACCATTTATTTGGAATGTACTGGAATCCATTATATCACGCAGTCACCATTTTTTAGAATCAGCCAATATGAACAAGTTTTCAAATTGTATTGACCTACATTGAGGCCGCATCCACCTCATTTCAAAGCCTTATTGCCAGACATGGGATACATTCACCATTTTTTAATTGGATATCATCAGTTCCTTAGATTTGGAAATTGCATCAACCATTTTTCAAAATAGTGTTGCTAAAAATCCGCAATACTTATCAAACTAAACTGTTTTTCTTCTATTCATCATGTTTCAAAATGAAATTGTAGATTCAGCCTATTTGACGCCATTTATTTGGAATCCATTATATCACGCGTTCACCATTTTTTGGAATTGGACAATATGAACAAGATTTCAAATTGTACTGACCTACATTGAGGCCGCATTCATCTCATTTCAAAGCCTTATTGCCAGACATGGGATACATTCACCATTTTTTTAATTGGATATCATCGGTTCCTTAGATTTGGAAATTGCATCAACCGTTTTTCAAAATAGTGTTGCTAAAAATCCGCAATACTTTTGAAACTAAACTGTTTTTCTTCTATTCATCATTTTTCAAAATGAAATTGTAGAGTCAACCTACTTGACGCCACTTATTTGAAATCGACCGACATCCATTATACCAAGCATTCACCATTTTTTAAATCGGGCGACATAAATAAGTTAGACCTCGCATTCGCCATTTGTTTAATTTGTTTGTCGACATATTCACATTGAGACCGCATTCACCTTTTTTCAAAGCCTGGTTGTCAAACGTAAAATACATCCACCATTTTTTTTAATTAATATCAACAGCTCCTCAGATTTGGAAATTGCATCAACTGTTTTTCAAAATAGTATTGCCAAAAATCTACTGTTGTCCACATCCAAAATACTTTTAAAATTAAACTGTTTTTCTTTTATTCATCATTTTTCAAAATGAAATTGTAGAGTCAGCCTACTTGACGCCATTTATTTGGAATGTCCTGAGATCCATTATGTCACGCATTCACCTTTTTTTTTCAATTGGGCGATATGAACAAGTTTTAAAATTGTATTGACCCACATTGAGGCCGCATTCACCTCATTTCAAAGCCTTATTGCCAGACATGGGATACATTCACCATTTTTTAAATTGGATATCAGTTCCTTAGATTTGGAAATTGCATCAACCGTTTTTCAAAATAGTGTTGCTAAAAATCCGCAATACTTTTGAAACTAAACTGTTTTTCTTCTATTCATCATTTTTCAAAATGAAATTGTTGAGACAACCTACTTGACGCCATTTATTTGAAATGGATCGACATCCATTATAACACGCATTCACCATTTTTTTTAAATTGGGCAATATGAACAAGTTTTCAAATTGTGTTGACCTACATTGAGACCGCATTCACCTCATTTCAAAGCCTTATTGCCAGACATGGGATACATTCACCATTTTTTAATTGGATATCATCAGTTCCTTAGATTTGGAAATTGCATCAACCGTTTTTCAAAATAGTGTTGCTAAAAATCCGCAATACTTTTGAAACTAAACTGGTTTTCTTCTATTCATCATTTTTCGAAATGAAATTGTAGAGTCAACCTACTTGACGCCACTTATTTGAAATGGGCCGACATCCAGTTTATCATGCATTCACCATTTTTTGAAATCGGTCGATATAAATAAGTTAGACGTCACATTCACCATTTGTTTAAATGGTTTGTCGGTATATGTACATTGAGGACGCATTCACTTTTTTTCAAAGCCTGTTCGTCAAACTTAAAATACATCCACCATTTTTTTTTAATTTAATATCAACAGTTCCTCAAATTTGGAAATTGCATCAACTATTTTTCAAAATAGTATTGCCAAAAATCTACTGTTTCAAAATGAAATTGTCGGCAACGAATGATGACATCATCTTAGATAGTCTTTAAGGAATCCCCTAATCCAATGAAAGGATCTTAATGTTTAGTCAGTCGCACGTTATCAAACATTCTTTTCCAGTGATGCCCAAGTCTCTGACACTATTCGCCAATGGCTACGAATGCCTACCTTCGATGCTCGACCTTGGGAGGATGAAGAGCTGCTACTCCTCCTTCAGCAGATGTACCTGGATCACGACTTCTGCTCCAAGTTCGCCATCGATATCCAGACTTTGAGGAACTTCCTTTATGAGGCCTACAAGAACTACAACGACGTACCCTTCCACAACTTCCGGCACTGCTTCTGTGTCGCACAAATGGTAAGTTTTGCTGGAATTCCGATAAGGTATTTTCCTATTGCTTGGACTGACCGTTAAATATTATTATTGGTGAAATCCGCTCTAAAGAGGCTAGAAAAGTGCGTAAATAATACAAATAGTAAATGCCATTAGGTATAAGACCCTCGAGGCATTTACGTTTACCATTTTCTTTATTGCGAGTTGTCAGGAAAAAATTAAATTCCCTTTGAAGGAGAAATCGATTTGATTAAAATCAGTAAACACTAATTCCTACCTCCCCTTATGATATTGTCAATTATGAAAAATAATCACCAACAGCGCGCTGTTTCTCCATGCACGCAAAGAGAATATTCATTATTTTTAATAAGGATTATTAGCAGCTTTTACGAGTAAATACTCGTCAATAACACGCGTTCAGCCTTTGTTTAAATTTAATCTAGTGAGTCCGAAATCACAGTGGTTTGTTTGAGCAAATATGATTAGATTCATTAGCTTATTTAACCTTTGTCATAGCTTTTTATATGGAAAACGAAATGTTCATAGTATACGGAAAATTTGTTTAAATACAAGACTGTTTTGAGCTAACTGTTTTTCTGCGAAAGAACTTATCCTGAACCTATCATGAAGTCAGCAAACGCGACTAGGAAATAACCAGATCACAAGCTCACCTCTTCGAGAGTGCATACATTACCAAGTAATTAATTCTCAAGGACGTGTTTATCATGAACATAAATCTTACATGCCCTTCACCTCATGAAAGCTGAACTTTGAGCGACAAGCACAGGACGCCTTTGTCATCTTCCTATCAAACTCTCAGCTTAGTTTAATATGCTGTTTCACTTTTGGTTGTGAGTTTTATTCAAATCGAGCTAAGACTGGCTGCTAGAACTGGAGATGCTTAAAGTCAAGGTTGGATCTACGTGGGTGGCTATACGATTGCCTGGAGAGACAAACAGAATAGAGATATTATTCTAAAAATAATATTTCAGTTGCAGGATTCAACTAGGTAGCTGCAATTTTGCACGGTTATAATAAGCAGTCTTCTACAGTTACAGTAATGATAATAATAAGAAACATAGAAGCTGGTGAAGTAAATTAATTATTGTATCACCTTGAAACTCATTTGAAAGTCAGAACCTATGACCATATCGCTTCTAAACACTGTTCAAACTGCAAAGACTCTTTTTATTCTAAAGAGAGTCAGACTCAAGACACCTCAAGTAAAAGTCCGACACTTGTCTGGGTCCAAATAGAATGACATCACATTTTATTGTATTTGTACCTACATATAGCTACTTGCAACTTGGAGATGACAAGTATAGCTAATTGTAACTTGTAAATGGCAACTATAGCTAATTGCAACTTGTAATTAGCAATTATAGCTAATTGCAGCTTGTAAAGGACAATTATAGCCAATTACAACCTGTTAATGACAGTTATAGCTAATTGCAACTTGTAGTTGACAAGTATAGCTAATTGTAACTTGTAAATGACAATTATAGCTAATTGCAACTGTAAATGACAAGTATAGCTAATTGCAACTGTAATTGACAATTATAGCTAATTGCAACTTGATCTGACAATTATAGCTAATTGCAACTGTAACTGAGAATTATAGCTAATTGTAGCTGTAACTGACAATTATAGCTAATTGCAACCTGTAAATGGCCATTATAGCTAATTACAACTTGTACCTGACAATTATAGCTAATTGCAACTGTAACTGATAATTATAGCTAATTGCAACTTTAACTGACAATTATAGCTGATTGCAACTTGTAAATGGCAATTATAGCTAACTGCATCTTAGTAAAGGACAATTATAGCCAATTACAACCTGTAAATGACAGTTATAGCTAATTGCAACTTGTAGCTTGCAATTATAGCTAATTGCAACTGTAATTGACAATTATAGCTAATTGCAACTTGACTTGACAATTATAGCTGATTGCAACTTGTAAATGGCAATTATAGCTAACTGCATCTTAGTAAAGGAGAATTATAGCCAATTACAACCTGTAAATGACAGTTATAGCTAATTGCAAGTTGTAGCTTGCAATTATAGCTAATTGCAACTGTCACTGAGAATTATGGCTAATTGAAATTTGTAAATGACAATTATAGCTAATTGCATCTTTTCATTCTGGAGAGTGTCAGACTCAAGACACTTCAAGTAAGTCTGTCTGGGGTTAAGTGCATTTTATTGTATTTCTACTTAGATATTCGAACAGATTTACATGTGCTTCTATTAAAACCGTTTTTGTCTAAGTGCCCCTATGTGACGTTTTACCGTTTATGATTTCGGCAATCGTTCGAGTCACTTACAGATATTAGCATCTTCATATTTATTTCAATATATACCTGTTCAACTTTCTCGTTTTTTCAGCTATACGCGATTTCGTGGTGTGTGGATCTTCCCTCTAAAATTGGCGATCTAGAGGTGCTGATACTGCTGACGTCTTGCATTTGCCACGACCTAGATCATCCAGGATACAATAATATCTACCAGATCAATGCTAAAACGGAACTGGCGATTAGGTATGTATAACCATTTATGTTGCAAGTTTTTGCATTATTACATAGAAGAATAAAATAACGTACACGATGTCCCAAGATGAACTGTCAGAATCCATGTTTGAAAATGATGAAATGTTGCCCTCATCAGAAATGTGATAAGACCAATTTGGTTAAAGTGTTTTAAATACTTTCGAAGTAGGTAACCGTATGCCGCACACGATGAAATTTTAAATATAGGGTGATTTATTTTTCACTTTAATTAGCTTTTGCAGTCTAGATTTTATAGCGTCTTTTTGAACAACTTATAAAGGACAATTATAGCCAATTACAACCTGTATTATAGCTAATTGTAACTTGTACCTGACAATTATAGCTAATTGCAACTGTAACTGAGAATTATAGCTAATTGCAACTGCAACTGACAATTATAGCTAATTGCAACTTGTAAATGACAATTATAACTAGTTGCAACTTATACCTGACAGTTATAGCTAATCGCAACTGTAACTGGCAATTATAGCTGATTACATCTTGTAAATGAGACTTACAGCTAATTGCAACTGTATCTAAGAATTATAGCTATTTGCAACTATAACGATAATTATAGCTAATTGCAACTGTAACTGACAATCATAGCTAATTGCAAATTGAAAATGACAATTATAGCTTTAACTAAGAATTATAGCTATTTGCAACTGTAACTATAATTATAGCTAATTACAACTGTAACTGACAATTATAGCTAATTGCGACTTGTAAATGACAATTTTAGCTAATTGCAACTGTAACTAAGAATTATAGCTATTTGCAACTGTAACTATAATTATATCTAATTGCAATTGTAACTGACAATTATAACTAATTGCTACTTGTAAATGACAATTATAGCTAATTGCAACTGTAACTAAGAATTATAGCTAATTGCAACTACAACTGCCAATTATAGCTAATTGTAGCTTATACCTGACAATTATAGCTAATCGCAACTGTAACTGGCAATTATAGCTGATTACATCTTGTAAATGACAATTACAGCTAATTGCAACTGTAACTAAGAATTATAGCTATTTGCAACTGCAACTATAATTATAGCTAATTGCAACTGTAACTGACAATCATAGCTAATTGCAAATTGTAAACGACAATTATAGCTAATTGCAGCTTTAACTAAGAATTATAGCTATTTGCAACTGTAACTATAATTATAGCTAATTGCAACTGTAACTGACAATCATAGCTAATTGCAAATTGTAAATGACAATTCTAGCTAATTGCAGCTTTAACTAAGAATTATAGCTATTTGCAACTGTAACTATAATTATAGCTAATTGCAACTTGTACCTGACAATTATAGCTACTTGTAACTGTAACTGACAATTATAGCTAATTGCAACTGCAACTGTCAATTATAGCCAGTTACAACCTGTAAATGGCAATTACAGCTAATTGTGACTGTAATTGATAATCACAACTAATGGCCAGTGTAGATAATTATTACAGGTTACAATAAATTATAGCTCATTTGTTTCTTGTAACTGACAATTATAGATAAAGTATATATTTTTCCGCGGATTTTTTTTTAGTGCTTTCATAACAAAGAAGTCGTATGAAAAAAATGACAAAGGCTTCAATTGGCGAAAAATCGTTTATAATAATAATTTTTGTCACGAAATTGATATTATATTTAAAATAAGTATCCCCTTTCCGTATAATTGGGGATGGTACAATTACAGTATTAGTTAACTACGCCAAATTTTATTAAAACGCTTACTTTTGGAGAAATCATCTCATCGTAGGACACGTTGTATTTGAAATTATGTAGTTATAGGATTATACATTACCCAATAACCCAATATAGGGTTTTATCCTTAAGGTATAACGACATCTCGCCGCTGGAAAACCATCATTGCAGCGTTGCCTTCAGGATATTAGAGAACGAGGATTGCAATATATTCAAATCGTTCAGTAGCGAAGAGTTTAAAGTAGTACGAGAAGGCATGATACGTTCGATATTGGCTACAGATATGGCCAGACACAATGAGATACTCACCAACTTCAAAGAAATCTTGCCCAATTTCAACTATGATGATAAGGGACACGTTAATTTGGTAAGTATTAACAATATTTTTTGAATTACACCTTGATTTTGACCTTGGTCAACTTTAAAATTTCAAATGTAAAGATCCCTCAAGGTCAAACTACCACTAATGCTGGATATCGATAACTCGAATGCTTTTTAGGGGAAAATGCTTTAAATAAAAGTTGAAGGATTTATCCTCAGCTAACAGAAAGTGACCTTGGATTTAATCTTGACCTTTATCTTGCAGGTCATTTGAAGGTCGGCTTCAAACGTTTAAGCTTAAGCTTCTTTTTTTGACGTTTTAGAGGCACATCATTATCGAACAAATTTTTGTGGGAGTTGAAACTTGAGGGTTAAGAGTTGGGATAGGGGTTTGTTGTGAGTGTAATGTCTTTAGTATTGATCAAAGACGTTCTATTATTAAGAATCTTCTGATCTCAGTAACAACGGTAAAATTTAATTATAAAAGTCCGACATGTAATTGGAAATAAGTTGGCAATCGGTGGCGTTTTCTACACAGTGCAGACACTGCCGGCTGTCCAATGGGTAACAAACTCCAACTGGTCTGCGGTGGTGTCGTTACTGACACACCTTTACAGAGCAATACTTTTTATTTTACTAAATAATGAATCGAATTTTTTATAACTATGCATATATTATACTTAGTTTTAGGATCGTTGATTTCTCCTAACCTTCAATTTGTGTTGCTTCGTCTATGATGGTTCTCTGAATATTTCGTCAAGTAGATTGACTCAGTACTTTTGACGGATTGATAAGCAACAGAATACTTGTGAACCGAAGTCTTCCGAATTTCACATAACTGGTATGTTTCAGCTGTGCATGGTGCTGATCAAGGTTTCCGATATCTCGAACGAAGCGCGACCGATGGAAGTAGCAGAGCCTTGGCTGGACAAGCTGCTGCAAGAGTTCTTCAAACAGAGCGATGCCGAAAAATTGGAAGGACTACCAGTCACGCCTTTCATGGATAGAGACAAGATCACGAAACCGTCCTCCCAGTGCTCCTTCATAGGATTCGTGCTGTTGCCACTGTTCGAAGCGTTAGGAGAACTGTTTGAGGAGCTGCAGGTAATATTTATGGCTATACCGCAATTAAGAAATACATATACCCGAGATTCCGCTCTATCACATTTATTTGATCTTAACATGACCTTGGAGGTCATGGACAAGGATATACTTGAAAATAGGTGCTTTCCGTTAAGATTTCATTTGGTCTTAAATTGACCTTGATGGTCATTGTCAAGGTCATGGACATGCTTGTACATAATGGTTCTTAGTCTCTTTATTTCCGGTATCAAAAATAGGAGTTTCCACTTAAGAAAACTGACTTGACCTTCAAATGACGTCGAAGGTCATAGTCAAGGTCAGTTCAAGGTCAGCGTTGGATGAGTCTTTTCAAGTCTTTCACAATATTTTTCGTTATAAAACGTATTGTTGGAGATATTTTATTTCTACTGTCATGTCATGCTCAAGTTTTTTTTCATGACTTGCTATTATTTTCAAAAGAAAAACAAATGATTTTTAATAAATAAACTTTTAGATAAATGTAGATAATGTCCGAACGTTTACGTAAATGATGCGATAATAACATTTTTTCACAGGATTTAATCGTGCAGCCAGTCAGAGAAGCCTTGGACTATTACAGGCGACTGAATGAAGCTAACAAGGAGGAAAGGATGCACCGAAAAAGTATTGTGGAACTGGAGCAGCATTCAGCAACGCACAGTCCAGACTCTGGAAAAGGTGGCGCTCAGTCGAAAAATATGAGAAAAAGCCTTAGTTTCCAGACGAGATCCAGGTAAGTGGAGTAATAAAAACTGGCTCATATGTGTTTATAACTACATGATCTGTCATTTTACATAAAGAAGCTTGATTGTGATCACTGTCTGATACTTTATCAGAGCTACTAACAGCTTGCAATGACGTCTCATCCAAATAGACCCTGCAAGTCATTCATAAGTCCGCCGTTTATGTTCGCGAACCTCAGTGGCGGGAAATACTAACTTTCATTCATAATTTTATGAAATTGGACCCAGGCTTGGAAAAGCAAAACGCTCAAGGTCAACTACGGAATTCCCACCACAGGCGTATCACAATGTGGGCCATAAAGGTGTATAAAAGCCAATAACGTACTCGGTATATTGGAGGTACAAGAAACGTCTTTCTTGTAGGTATACAATTATTAAGGTGACCATACGTCCCGCTTTCGGACTATTCCGGACATAAAAATGTCCCTCTTTTCGGTCGTGGTGTCTTCAACAAAAAGCATGGGGACGAAAAATATCCTACTTTTTCCAAACCATACGGAATACGTGAAATTTTCGAACGACATTGTTAGCAACCCCCTCCGCTCCCCCCGCTCCAAAAACTACTAATCATCGGCCATCAATGCAAAAAATGAAGTGTGTTTACATATTGTGCTTTCATTTTATGATTGCAAACAAAAATAGCAAAATGTGTGCCTTTTGTGGCAGGTACTAGACCCCAATCTAGACGTAATAAAACACAGTAAATACCTACTTAAGAAAATCTTTATTTGATGGTTTACATATTTTATATGGAGATCAATCAATGCAAAATAAAAAAAGCTTCCCTGCCCCTCACACCGCGCTCTTCAACATTTAATCCGGAGAATTGATTCTACGAACTGACATACATGTAGATAAACCGAAGTCCTGTACTCCCCCCCCCCCCCTCTCCACGCTCTTCAGTGTGGTTCCCGGAAATTGTAAATAAAGCAAAATCCCTTACCCTACCCCCACTCCCCAAGGTCAAAAGTAACTTATGTGCTATTCCAGACTATAATCTATTTCTGAAACCAATTTCTTCCATATCCGTTCAGCCATTTTGGCGTAACTGAGTACACATCCGTTTGTTCGCACTTACTCTATTATGATTAGCAGGATACGTTCAATCTGCTCCATATAAGAATTTTACCATAAAATAATCTCAGTTGGCCGTGGCGGAAATCGAACGAACAGCTGAGGGTGTCAGGTTGACATTTCGCCGCGTCATGGCCAACTGAGATTTGAGCAGTTTTGGCTGTAACTCTTGAAATAGATATTTCGAAGTTCTTTTCCGGGGTAAAATGTAGCCTATATGCTATTCCAGGCTATAATCTATCTGTGTGTCAAGTTTCATTCAGATCCGTTCATCCATTCTGGCCTGACTGAGGAACAAACATACATCCATCCATCCATACTTTCGCATTTATGATAGTAGGATATACAGGGTGACTTTGAAGTTGAGTCATTAATTTTCAGATAATGATTGTAGAAGGAAGATAAACCAAAATATGTATGTAAAAATAAAAAAAATGTACCTTGTTTTATAAAGTATCCTCCCGACAAGTATTTCAGTGCGGACCTGTATTTGATCGTGAGGTCTTGGAGCACCGGCATGCCGTCCCCATGTGAGGTCTTAAGTCACCTGATTCACGAGCCCGTTGTACTACATTAACAAAGGCACGAGGGGTTGGTTGCACTCGATTGGGAAACCGATCCGCATAAACATGTGCCATTTTTTATTTCGTTTGAGCCACGCAACAGACACCACTATTCACTCACGCGTTACCGACTGACACTGACTGTATACAACTGAATGAAATAATTGTAAAAACATCGTTCCAAATTCTTTCGCTTTTTTGTTTCCGATGCGATGTGAACCGTTAAGGCGGATTATATCCGTTGTTGCCAAACACGAGCATATAATATTATTATTGAGACAGGGCAGTACTCAAACTTCCAAAGGGCTATAACTTTTTTACTTTAATTTTACCAGAAAAATGGTAAAGGAAAAAAACATTTCTTGTGATCAGACCTACTCACTGTTAAAATAAATGACTCAACTTCGAAGTCACCCTGTATACAGGGTGTCCGCAAAGTTGGGGTTTTCCTTTTCAGAAACAACTACCCTTGAAATAACAAAGGTAATGTGTAGTGAAACGAGGGCGACCAATTAAAAAAAAAATAAAGGAAACAGTACTCACTCTCCAGTTGACGAGAAGGGCTAAGTACGTCTCTGTCCGAAATCATACCGCTCCAACAGAAAATGTAATCAGCTGATGCGCTACCGAGCAGACGCAGAAACTACATTGATTGTCTTACACTTAATGGCACATCTTCTAACAAGGAAGGCAAAATGTTGCGTAAAAAGTCTAGGTATTGCATCCCGAAAATGTTTGTTGAAAATGTGCCCGACGGACAGCGTGCGGATTTTCCACTGACCAAACATGAGTGTTGCGAAAGTTATTCACCCCATTACGCGTGAACGTAGATTCGTCTGTCACCAATATGCACTTCAAAAAGTCCGGATTATTGTCATGTTGATGCAACAACCACTCACAAAACCGCACTCTTGCTGGAAAATCGTCAGGTTGAAGGGCTTGTACACGTTGGACGTGAAACGTTTGCCACACTTTAGTTTTTGATACTCGCACTTCTCTAGCCACGTCTCTAGTGCTTGGTGAGGGATTCTCGTCTACGCGATTACCTCTACATGCGTGACCGTAACCGTCGGTTGAAGGTTGCATACTGACCTGACACACTGACCCCGACACAGTTCTGTCGTCGGGTTGAGCCAGTGACCTTGTACCAGTCGGTAATGTCGCGGCTACAGGACGGTATTCAGATATTTTTGATGTTGCAGAGCCCTTTATCTCGGTTCCCTTAAGACATTGGTGTATATGGTACTAAGAAAAATTGCTTATGTTTTCAAGATCTACACGTCGTGTAAAGGAAAACCCCAACTTTGCGGAAAACCTGTATATATATGCAATGGGTAATTAACTATAAATATACAAAACCACAGAAAACAACTTATGAGTTTTTCGGGCTGTTGAGCCGTGATCGGGTTGGATTTGGTCCAGAGCTAACCTAAATTACATTAGAATTAGCTGTGAAAGCCTTCGTTCTTCAATTGTAAAAAGTTGTTGACAAAAAACAGGAAGCATAGCATGTTCCCTACATGCAAAATATAAACATCTACGAAACATTGTTAAAAGTTCTCAATTATTCATATTTATTTAACAAGATA